CTTCTTGAGGGCGCGGAAGGCGTCCTCGTGGAGGGGTGTCCAAGCCCAGGGTGGGTTCTTCTGGAGGAGGGTGGAGGTAAGGACGTAGGAATAGCTAGCGTATCCCCGGATGAAGTTACTATAGTAGCTGGTCAGGCCTAGGAAGCTGCGAAGCTGCTTGGCGGATGTGGGGGCGGGCCACTCCGCAATAGCAGTGATCTTCGCGTCGTCCATGTGGAGACCCTGGTCAGACACGTAGTGTCCTAAGAAATCCACTTTGTGCTGGGCTAAGCGGCACTTGCTCAGCTTGGCGTAGAAGCCATGTCTGCGCAAGCGGTCAAGGACGTCGCGGAGGTGTCTGAGTGGCTCCTCAAGGGTACGACTGTAGACCAGGATATCGTCGAGGTAGACGAGAACGTACTGCTCCAAGATGTCCCTGAAGATGTCGTTCATCGCCCTCTGGAAGGTGGCGGCCCTGGCGGGTGCATTGGTGAGGCCGAATGGCATCACCGTAAACTCGTAGTGGCCGAAGCGCGATCGGAACGCTGTCTTCGGCTGGTCGGCTGCAGCGACGCGGATCTAATGGTAACCGCATCGAAGATCAATCTTCGTAAAGAAGCGGTTGCCTGCTAGGCGGTCGAACAGCTCATCGGAACGAGGCATGGGGTAGTTGTTCTTAACCGTGTAGCAGTTGAGACCGCGATAGTTGATGCAGAGACAGAGAGTTCCATCCGCTTTGCGAGCAAAGAGGACGAGTGCACCCCACGGGGAGTTGCTGGGTTTAATGAAACCCAGTCTCAGGAGCTCCTCAAGATGACGCTTGAGTTCGGTGGCCTCGGGAATCGAGAGTTTGTAGGGTGCCTGGTGGTGAACACGATAGTCAGGCACAAACTGAATGGAGTGCTCGACGTCACGCATCGGTGGGATGCCGGCATACGAGAACGACGATGGGAAAACGTCTTGGTACTCTCGGATGAGGTCATGAACTGCGGGCTCCAGGTCAGCCGTATATCGTGCGAGTTCCTCAACGTCAGCGTCAGCGCCCGACGGCGGGGTGGACTCGACGGACGGCGGAGAGACGGAAGTAGAGATGGGAGCCATGGAGATAGAGGGAGGATCTGACTCCAGAGGGATGAGCTCGGGGTCGGGACAGGGTGGATCATAGTGTAAGAGATCCGTCACGTCCGCCATAAAGAAGGTGACGTCGTCCTGTCGAATGAAGTGAGCGAACTGCCGAGGCGAGGTGACAGTGATAGAGGGRGATGGTGTGGGCASTGAMRGCTCCGGGGGAGGAGGATCGGGGCGTGGTATCGTCGTGGTACCTATGAAAGGTACGCGATACGTCTGTCCACACTTCGTTTTAATAACGAGAGTGTTGGTTGCCCAATCGGCCTCGGTGCTGCGGAACCGACGAGACCACGGAGTGCCGAGAATGAAGTCATACCCCGTCTCCATCACATCGAAATGTGCAGAGGAGCGGTGGCGACGAGACGCCGGGGAACGATCAGTCGACTCGAGAGTGAGGAAGAAGGGGAGGTCGATGACCGTCTGATCGAAGAAGCGTTGGGTCTTGTCATCCCCTAGGGTAACGGAGATGGGAGTCGGAGACCCTGTCGTGGGTAAGCGGGCTTCCTTCACCACGCGTGGGTGAATGAAGTCGCCCTGAGAACCGGAATCCCACAGCGCTGAGTACACCCTCGTGGTGGTCCCGAGTTGTACTGAGATGATCGGGAGGGTGCGATCAGGGTCAAAGAGGATGGCAAGAAGGCGACGCAGTACAGCGACATGGAGGGTGAGTCGCACCTGACGAGCGTGGAGCATGCTCAAGTCCAGAAGAGAGGACACAACGTCCTCGCGAGTAGCAAGCTGCTCGCTGCAACGGGCTGAGCGAATGGCTCGACGCATCGGTAGTCGCGACGGGGAAGGAAGGGAGACGGTGGTCTGCGGAGGCGCAGACGGTACTACGACAGAGGGCTGAGTACACTCTGTCGAGTCCTGCGATACCTCAACTTCAATAGCGAGAGGGGCGAACTGCGACGGAGATGTCGGGAAGCCCACTACTGAGGAGGGCGCAGGTGTACACTGCACCGTGGCTAGGAGGCGCCGCGGGGACGTGAGGCGCCGGGGGGGAACTGAGCACGACGCTGATGAGAAAAATCAGCGTAGTGGCGGTCGAGGGCGGTAGTGTAATGGGACCACGAGGAGGTATGACCGTCCAAGCGGCAGCGCAAACACCCACGTCGGCCCAGAATAGCCGCGTGCTCCTCAGCGAAAAAGACACCGCGAGGAGAGACGAAGCCGTAAGGGAGGTCCTCCTGAGGGACCTCGGGGGGCGACGCGCCAGCGTGACCGGGGCGGCTGCGTGCCCGAGAGAGGGTGGAGAGCGCGAGCTGAAGGCGCTCAGCTGCAGGGAGGGTCGAGTCCTCCAAGTGATAGTGGACGGCCTCGCAGAGATCGAGGTTGGCGCTGTGGTTGCCCTCAGGTGACAGTGGGGCAACAGCGTCCTGCTCACCATACTCCTGCGCGCTGAAGCGGCACAAGAAGTGGCGGCCCTGCTGCGTGGAACGGCGTTGGGAAGTGCCGTGAGAGGAGGAGAAGGCGTAGCCCGTGCGCTGGGGCTGGGAGGAGGAGGCGGGGTGAAGATGGGCTCGCATCCGCTCGTGGTCCCTGGCGGGCTCGTAAGCCTGTGGGGCCGATGTGAACTCGTATCGCCATAGCTCGGAGCGGTACTCGAGTGGAAGGATGGACGAAACGATCGATAAGGGCAGCCTCGGGGAGGAACGCCACGTTGCAAACGAGGCGGGTGTCCTGAAAGACCTGGATGTGGCGATCCAGGCCGGYAGCGCCACCAGAGCCGGACCAGCGTGTAGTGACGACACGCTCGAAGGCATCAGTCACGTCGTATCGGGCTCCGAACCGATCCTCGAGGAACGCCTGGAAATCCACGAAGGTCGGAGTTTGACCCTCACGAAGGGAGTAGGCATAGAAATCCTTCCAGGCCTCGAAAGGACCGCCACGCAGGCGCGTGGAGAGGTGACCCACCCACGTCTCGGTTGTGGCGCCCATGAGCTGGAGTGTGCGGGTGGCAGACTGCAGCCACCGAGACACCCGTATGCCTGTACCGTCATACAAGGCAATGTCCGACAAGCGGATGAGTGGTGCGCCACCGTTTTGGCGGCGAGGGGATCGAGGAGCGGAGGCCTGTGCCACGGCTAAGTAAGTCGGCGCAGGTCCTGGAGAAAGGGGCGCAGCTGACTGTGCGCCAGGCACGCATGGGGGAGCGGCGGTGGCAACATCGGTAGGCTGCGAGGGTGCTGCGGTAGAAGAGGTCGCAGCAACCGGTGGAGTAGGAAGAAGGTAGGAAGGAGTTGTGTAGGGTGCAGGGCGCGGAAAGTGAGCTTGCATGGGAGGAAGGGTAGAGGAGGTAGGGGGTGCGCCCGAAGGCGCGGCCACCTGTGAGGGTGGGGGTGGCTGAAGGAGTAAAAGGGCGAGGTCCGCCCGGAGCTGGGTAATCTCGTTCGCGAGACCTCGAACGTAGGTCGATCGAGGGGTGGCAGGAGGAAAAGTGGAGGGGGTGGACGCACAAGCAGCGCGGGGCATCCCAGAGGAGGGAGAGCCAGGTGGCGCTGCGGTCGTGCGAAGGGGAGGGAAAAGCGGGGCACCAGGAAAAGCTGAGACCATGGTAGCGGGTTGTTGTACCGTGGCCTTAGGGACTGGGATCTGGGCGGGTGCGTCCGTAGACTGAAGGGGGGCCTGGCTCGTGGCGGCCGTCGTGCTAGGGGCGTGGACAGTCACCAAGATGGCCGGGTCAGGGGCAACGGAGGAGGAAGCTCCGCCGTGGCCACCCTGTCGGAGGACGGGGGACCCGGACTGGGAGCCAGAAGATGACGGACACGCAGCATCCTGGAGTTGCTGCATGCCGGCGGCAAGGGTCGCCACCTGCGCCTGTAAGGGCGCGAGGGTCGCGAGTTGCGTCTGGATTGGCGCAAGGGTCGCGAGTTGCGCCTGGATGGGCGCAAGGGTCGCGAGTTGCGCCTGGATGGGCGCAAGGAGGGAGGTGAGGAGGGTGTGTAGATCCCCCTCGAGCTGATGGCCTTGGTCCGTCGGCACGGGTGTGGAGCCCAATGCCGTGGTCCTCGCCGTGTCGGCGGCGTGTGACGCACCGTCGGCCATGGGGAGATGACGGACCGGACTGGAGGCGGCCAGAAGAGGTCCGCGTGAGCGGAGGGCGTAGGGCGAAGTCCGCAGTAGAAAGCGGTGAACGGCGCTAGCAAGGCTAGCACGGGCTCCGTCAAAGGGGGAGGGGTGGTTGTGGTCCAGGGTGCCCGAAGAGGACGGGGAAGTCGGGGGGTTTTGAGGAACCCTAAACCCTACAAAAACCCTAAGAAAACCCTAAGAAAACCCTAACCGAGGTTTAAGTGGCTAGGGTAGGGTAAGTAAGCATAAGGGGGGGGAGACGGGAGAAAAATAAATAAACAACAAGATTTCGAGAAACTATAAAATAAATAAGAAAATAAATAAATAATAATCAAAATAATTAAAGAAATAAGTAAAGAGATGTGAAGGGAAACAATATTTATTTATTTATTTATTTTTATTTTTATTTTTTGAAATTTTCGGCAGCATTTCCCTACCCCCCACGGGGTCAAGAATGTGCCAAGGGGAAGGGAGAGACCAAGGTGAGCACACTAGGTGTCAAGATGGCGCAAAGAAAAAAGAAATTTCAGAAAATAAATAAAGAAATAATAGATAAAGAGATAAATTAAAAAAATAAATAAATAAAGAAGTAAAAGTGGATGAGGAGGTGGGGAGGAATGACGTATATAATTTGTCAAAAATTTTGGCAGCATTTTGCTACCCCCATGGGGTCAAAGTGTGCCCAGAAGACTAAGTGAAAGAAAAAAAAACAGAAAATTTCGGCAGCACTTCGTTACCCCCACGGGGTCAAAACGTGTGCCGAAAGTAGTAAAGACTAGCACCTAATCAGGTTTAGGGTTGCCGTAAAGAAAATCGAATTTTCAGACTAAATAGAAAAATAAATAAAATAAATCAGAAAATGAGAAAAGAAGGTGGGAAAGAAGATATTTCGAATTTTTGGAAAAGAGAAAAAATAAATCAAGAGAGAGAGAAAAAAGAAAAACAGAAAAATTTGAAGTGGGGGAAAAATGGGAATGAAAAAGTGAAGGAGAAGAGAAGGAAATAGG